CTTTGTCTTAAACTAGTTATCGCACTAACAACGAGTGCTTGGTGCTTGCCGTGACGAATATTCTTTGAAAGTTAACCTCAATGGAGGAAATGGTGCCCCGTAAGCTCCTCGCGTATATATCTTTATTCACTTCTCTGTAACTCATCTGCAATCGCCTGCAACTTTTCAAGGATACACTCAAACAAGGATAAACACAAACTCGGCAGTTACGACCCTTCCTCACCTCTCTTATCCCGGCACATGTGGGCCGCCGAATTAACGGTCACGTTCTCCCTCATCGTTCAGGACGAAGTTTGTGCTTACGCGGCATCCTTCATTCGCTACGACTGCAAGCCATGGAACAGCGTCAGAGTTACACAAATCCTTTTACAATTGACAGCAAGTTTTTTGTTCCCGTCGCACAATAGGGAACTGGTGGAGTTGGTGCGATGGAGGCTTTCTGAAGCTGAACGATCGCGGAATAGCGACAAATTGCGTAAACCAAAGTCAATTAAACATCCAAGCAGCTAAGTAGCCGAATAGTCGAAGCCAATATCGATGGTTCTGCAAAGACTGTCTGGCCGGGCGGGATTTCTCGCACCTTGCCTTCACGGGCAACTCGAGCGGAATAGGTTTTTGCGAAGCTTTACGACATTTGCGTCAGAGCTCCTCGACCACGAAATTGAAATAGTTGATATGAGCACCACGAGAAATAACTTGAATTCCCTCCTTCCTACTGCCTTCGTGCAATGATTGGTTGGTGGTAGCAGCATATGTAGCCTCCCAATTTCTGTGAAGGCATTACCCTGCGTCGGTGGGTACTGACGATAAGAACGCATAGAAATGCGAGACCACGAAATTGCGTTCATTTTCATGTGGGTGGATTCTCTTTTATCATCGGTTCACTTGCCAGTGCGACAACCTTTACGACAGGGCGCCTGTTCAACAGACAGGGGCGTACGTTACAACTATGAGGTTTCTGGGATCCACGGGACGTAAAGGCCGGACACTTTCTCGTGTGCAGCACTAACGCTGAGATGTGTTTTCTTTTTCTTTCGGGAAAATTGAAACTTTCTCGGGGTTCGCTGCTCGTGACATTCAGAGTGTCAGAATACGATTAATAAATTTAGAGCTCTTCCTTCTTCCTTTCCAATTTTGTGGATCGCTCGAATAGAGTGCCTTCTTACCGTAAGAACTAAGAAATTGCTGCGAATATTATGGTTGGAAACTGGTGTAAGTGTGCAAGAATTACCACAAGACAGCTCGTAAAACAAAGCATAAGTATAAGAGAGCCTCAGACATTCAAATAAGCGAGTGTTATTTGTTTGTGCTGTCCTTTAGTCAACTTACTTTACTTAAATGCGCACATGCTGTGCTCTACTTTTTTGTGTCCTTGCATGTAATATCGCAGTTAAACCGTTTAAGAATGAACATTAACCAACGAACCCAACTTGCTCCACTTCAGCATTAACATAATAAAACAATAAACAATTATGAAGTCCGGGGACAGAGACAAGCACTATTTCATCGCGCTTCATTTTATTGGGATAGCAATTATATGGACACTCTCGGCTGGGTTTTGCCGCCAGCGTAACCGCAATCCGCCGTATATGTATACGTATCAATGTATGGGAAAACGCAAGAAAGAAAAATAATCCAGGAAAAGACTCCGGTATGTGAAATTGAACGTCCGACCTCGGAACTGTGAATGCGAGGCGTCAGCCACTGAGCCACGAAAGAGCACTTCCTTTAACGTTCAAACGGCAAGCTGTTTATATCTACTACTTACCGCTGGTGGGGGAACTACCTTGTTTTCAGCATTAAGGCTGGACCACACGCATCCGTTGCAGCGCGTCAGCGCATGGCTTTCTGACGCAGCCCCGTGTCCTCTCCCCGCGGAGAGAGTGGGCGCGCCGCTTCCCGTAGCCACGCGCCCTCTGTCTTTATCGGGAGAAGGCGTGGTGCCATGTCGAAAAGCCCAGCGCTGACGCACTGCAACGGCTGCGTGTGGTCAGGCCTTTACCAGCGAGATAGAGCAACGAGCGCGCGTCGCCTGATCGTCACGATGCGGCGGCGCGCACTCTCATCTTCCACGAGTACTTTGCCCCGCGCAGAGGGAACGCTCAAGCGTACGCTCGCTTGAGCGTTCGCGATGGGGACAATCGTACACCTTGGGCTTTCACCGGAACAATTCTGTTGTAGTTACCGGGTACACAAAGGTAACTGCACTCGTTGTCTCCGTTGGCGAAAAAGGCGCGTTTTTCAGGTACAGCAAAAGAACAACTGAGGCGCTTATTCGCGTTCATATCTACTTGTGAGTACGTTTAGTGCGTCATTTGTGCGTGAGAAGCACGGGGCGCGTTTAGATCTGCTTGTCATGCTACGCGTAACCTTTCAATTTGTTGCTATCGCGTTGATTGCTTCGTCTTTGCGGCAAAGCTGTGACTTTCTTTACAATAAATTTTTGAGATGCTAAGGTTGTGCGCAATGGAGTACCAACTGCTCCGAATCTTCGCGGTTTTTTTTAGGGCGAGGATTGGCGTGCACGGAAGCCTATTGTAACTGGCTGGCTCATGCTATCAGTTCATTCTCACTATGCCCTGTTTGCTTCTGCTTCGTTCGTTGATGTCGATAACTACGACTCCAATAAACACCTGCCACGATTGCCACAGTTTGTGGGTCTTTACGATTACGTGGCACAGAGGAAAAACGCCTTCGCGAAGGCGAACTCAAGAGTGCACACACTGTATACGAATTGTTGCACTTCACTTTGAGAACCTCTAATGTAGTAATAATTCTTTCCGTAATATTTTCTTAGGTTGGTCTTTTGTATTTGTGGTATTATTCGTGACATTTTGCTCTTCCAACTGAGCATGGGCAATGCCCGAGCACAGTAGTGCCCCCTTTTCCGTGGTCCTTGGAAACGTGAGAGTATATCGATTGAATTTTGGTATTGTAGGTGCCTTAAGCCATGCATGATTATGAGGCAAACCTTAGCAGGTACCTCGCTAGATAAATTTAAGCCAGCTATGGTTCTATAGAGCCCCCTTTTATCTGCCTAAGGACGCGTTCTTGAGATTATCCCCCTTCGGAATTGTGGGACCATGGCCGACATCACTCCCGCTACTTCAACAGCGCTTCTTAAGAGTCACTGAGCCACCGTGGTCAGTCGGAAAGGTTGTCAAAGACAGCATTACATCGAACAGAGTGACCAGCTTTCGTCTAGCACCATGTTTGACGTCACGTTTACTTCGTTCTTTGTCTCTGTCGCGGCCCTTAACGACCAACCAAAACCAGCATGCACAAAGTTTTTGTCTCATCGCCTTTCCATCGACCCTATTCGCCATGCTTCGCTAACCTCGCGCACATAAACTGTACATCACTTCATTCGCCTAGTGTAGCAGTGGACGCTGGTCAACGATCATGTGCCTACTAGCGGACTCATTACGTTCACACAGTCCATGACAGTACATGAAATGTCCTCAGTATTTACTGAAACTGCACATTCTAGACCGAGTTGGCACTATAGGACATTAACCCAGTTATCACCAGGACGTTCCTTAAAAGCAGTTATGGACACATGAGAAAACTCACAGGGTCCCTGATGCATTCGCTTAGGACGACTCGAAGGTTAGAGCCACCTTTTTTTTATATTCTCAGTCAATTGTATTGACTGACCTGCCGACGAAAGCTTTCGGCACATAGTGTGGTTTTGAAATGCCAATAAGAAAAACATATTAGCAATTGGAAGATAAAGACCTCCTTTTCCAGTGGCTTCCATGGCCACTGTTGCATTGACGGCACCAAACATTCCGATAATTCTCATGAAAGTGGCGTACACGAATCTATTCTATTATCCAGAACCGATGCAGCATTCAAGATTCGCTTGTTAGCATGTGATATAACACACTGAATGTGAAACACGACCGGTTTTCTGCAAACCGCCTACGCCGTTCAAATCAATCACTTCAACTTCAAATTCTTTCCAGGCTGTCCCGATCCGAAACAACAATGCTCTGCCGCTTTTGGCTTGAAGTATAATTCAATAACAGTTTTGCTTACCGGATCGGGATGGCTGACAGTGCTATGTGTGATCAATGCGACAGTGAGGAAACCATTGTCCGCGTCCTCTGTGACTGTCCTCATTATAGCTCCCAATGACAACAACTTTTGGCAACGTTAGCACGGCTCGACAATTAACCAGCCGCTTTCAGAGTAGTCAATTTTTGGAGCGCCAAAATGTTCGACCTTCCAGCCAGAAAGCGACGAAGACGCTGCTCAAGTTTATGTGGTCAACCGGAATCACAAAATGTCTGCGACACTCCCGTGCTTGAGTGCGTGCGCGTTTTCTATTTTCATTTCTTTAACCATCTCTTTCCCTCCTTTTTTCCTCCTTACCTTTTCATGCACATTTCCTTTTCCCCAGTCTAGGGTAGCAAACCGGATATTTTCTTCTAGTAACCTCCCTACCTTTCACTTAACCTTATTCTTTCTCCCTCTCTCCTTCGGAATCAGTGCTGCCTCCGGGATCGCCAACCTATGGCCAAGCGATATCATGCAAATATTCATAATGAGACGTCACGTAATGTCATCCCGGTGGCGGTATAGCTGCATTTTTGAGGGAGTCGAAAACGATGTAGGCCCGTGTGCTCAGATTTGAATGTATGTTAAAGAATAAAATACTAACCGTAAGTTTTGACCCCAGGTGGTCGAAACTTACGGAGCCCTCCCCTGCGGCGTCTCTCATGTACACGTGGTGGTTTCGGGACGTTAAACCCCGCATATCAATCAATTGAGGTCACGTAATGTGACGTCGTAGTGGCTTGACAATGACATAGTGATAATTTCGCAGTTATTTGATGATTTACCACGCGATTGTGAAATCGCGTGATGATTTTTTGCATTGCTTGCGTAGACGCAACCGAGGCGGATGGCCACATTTTCTCGCTTGATAATGCATTCTCGTTAGTATTTCAGTTTTTTCTCACTGCAATGCTTGCTCGCATTCTTCGCCGACGCAGGGAGGCACGTCATGGGCGGACGAAGAGCCCGAGTACGCGTCCAGCGGTGGCCTGATGGAGACTTCGGGAGGCGACGAAGATGGCGGTGCGGACCTGGGCGGTGCCGGCCCGCAGCAGCCGGGGCGACTGCCGCCGACGGCGGACAAGCGCAACCTGGCGGCCCTGGCTCGCAGCGGACGGCTGCCCCGGTTCCACTACAACAAAAAGCTCGGCCCGGCCGCTTCGCCCCTGCAGCCAACGCGGATGTACATGGCTGGACGGAGGCTGCTGCCCGCTGTCGGAGGAGCCGCCATGCCTCCCATGCTGCGTCAGCAGCACGGGGGAGGCCATGGCTGGCGACCCGATGCCTCCATGGCGGCGGGTGACCAGGCGCTTCAGGGCGACGCGGCCGAGAAGATGGGCGTCGTCGAGGCGCTGGGCCGCCTGTCCGAGGCCGCCATCTTCCCCTACATCGGGCCGCATAGGTGGATAAAGCCGTGGTGCATACACCCCGCTGATCTGTCCTGCCTGTTTCCCGTCCCCGTGCAGCACCCGTTCGATCGCACCGTGCTGCACCCGCTGCCGTCAATGCGCAGCGCGAGGCATAGTTAGTTGATGTCCCCGCGCCTATGGTGGAGGGTTCCTTAAACGAGGCAACTGTGACTCCCTGTATAAATCTGGCTTGGATGAGGATGGGTACATAGCGACTTGTAATCAAGGAAAATTGCTGGAGTGGAAATGATTGCCCAGGAGTGAAGCCTTGCCTCTGGCAAGATGGCGGCGGTGGTGGTCATCTTACATGAAAATGATGAAGTATCACCATTCGGCATTTAAGAACGGAGCGTTTCCCTCGTACGCCCAACAAGTTTAATATGGAAAATTTTTCAGCTTACATAGTGTTCCAAGTGCGTCTTAGTGTTACAGATTTTTTTTTAGTAAACCTATAATTGGAGGCAAAGTTCTTTGGAGGTTCAGTCACCCATACTCGCTTCTGTGTGTTATAACAACTATCTTTTATACAGAGCTAACGTAGCATTTTCATTAACATATCAAAGCCACTGGATCTTCAAGTGGGCACTACCAGAAAACAGCCTGTTTCCGCCATATTGGCAGTGGCAAATGCTGGCTTCACTTCAGCTGGCAAGGCATTGCAAGAGCTTCCACTTTAGCACCTTTTCTTCAATCTTCCTTGTTCGTAATTTAGCAACGTCTTCTCTTTTTTTTCCGTTCATTCAGTTACAGTGTATAACGTTGGTCATACTCAAGTACACCCGTAACAAAAGTGTGCGGACTATTAGTGCCGGTATACTTTTGCCATCTGCGCCGTCTAGTGACAAACCCTTTGCTGTCCAGGATATTGCTTTGGCCGAATTCGTGAGAGAAATGCTTTAAACACCAGAGCGTTCGCCACTAGACGGCACAGACAGCAAAACTGTACACAGATGGCAATGGTCCCTATACTTTTGTCCACGGATGTACTTGTAAGATAAGAGGCTACGGTTGGCAGAGAAAAGTTTTAATGCCTGACAGAGTGCCACAACCAGATTAAGCCGCATAAGAAGCACTATTTCGAGCAACATCTTCAACACATTTAACAGCTTTATATATAAGACCACCACGCAAAAGACACCACACGCAGAGCTTGTGTGTGTGGTGCCTCTATGTTACGATATATATATATATATATATATATATATATATATATATATATATATATATATATATATATATATATATATATATATATATATATATATATATATATATATATATAAAGCAACTCACCCAAAAATTAAGTAGTAATGGTGGCCCAGTTTGCTAAACTGCAGGTGGCAGGTGGCTAAGGAATATTTTTAATAATCAGTGACCCATTAACACAAGAAGCTCTCACAAGAACAGTTAATGATAGCAAATTTCTAACTGTTCTCGCAGGTCTGACCAGGCCAGCTATATCGATATGTGTCTTAATGAGCCCCATGCAATCATTACGTATATATACATAGAGAGAGAAAGAGAGAAACAGGTCATCGATTGTTTCTTTTTCGAATAATGTTTCCTTTATGGCCTAAATGCGCGCCTACTTATTGGTCAATTTGTTCCGTTGCTAAAAAATAAATAGTAGCTGAAATTAAGCAAATAACTGAATATGAAAATAAGCTCCAAACGTAATGAACGCAAAACTAGGAGATGACAGGGCGATGCTGGACTAACAAACTGTTTTGTTATTGCAGGAACAAAACAATGTAAACTACCTTCACCTTCCTAGCCTTCGAAAGCAGTCTTTTTTTTTTACTCTGTCCATAATAGGTATAGCTAGATTTCGAATTATGCAACAAGTTGTCCCAATCATCTATTTTTTTTTTGTAAAGGGATCATAAGTGCTTGGTGAATTATTTAATAGCTGTGCAAGTGGATTTCTGGGCACATGTTAAATAATTGTTTTAGATGATAACAGTTATCTGTTGGCAAATTTGCCTTTAGTATAGCTCAGTGGTTATGACGTCGTCATGCTGAGCTCGAGGTTGTGGTTTCTATTGTGGACGTAGCGGCAGCATTTCGACGAAGGAGAATTAAAGAGCACTCACACGCTAGTGTCTACGAAAGTGTCAAACAACTATGGATGAGTCAAAATTATTCCGCATTTCCTCCAATGGCACGCACCTTGATGTCAGATCTCGGCTGTAGTTCTTGAAGTCTAAAATTTTGTGGCCTTATATTGCTGACAGAAATAATAATGAGGACAGTAGCACGATCATGATTGCACCGATCGCCGTTCGCCAGTACCACTTAGCGTGAAAACTGATATTAAAATCTGGTCAGATTAGTAAGTTCGCATGGCATCTGTTGTAATAGCGCGCGTTTACCATATGTTGATGTGGCACTGAGAGCTCAGTACTTTGTTTCTGATGTTCGGTACCTCGCGCAAGTCTATAGCTTAGCGTGAAGTAGCTCACATGGTTCCGTGTTCAAGTACGCTTGCTAAAGTGTTATGGTTACAGCATATTAGCAGAGTGCGTGTCACGCGCGTCTCTCTGTTTCCTTATGCTTTCGTTATATAACAGATTAAGGGGGGTGTTCAAGTATAGTAAATCAAAATATGCTCATTAAATATGACTAACAGTCCACTTCAGTAATTGGTTGATTCAATGCTGCGTGCAGTGTGAACGCCGACATGGGAAGCAAGATGTCGGTGGTGTTCCTACACTCTTATATGTTTCCTTTGTTCATATTACACTTGTGCTCGGAAGTTACGTGAGGATCAAGTGTAAAGTTAGGAGCCACAAAATAAAACCCAAAGCGCGATAGAATGTATGAACAGGAAGGCACATTGTTCGGGCCGGTCTGTTCCAGGTTCTGTAATACTGCGCGCACAACCTTTTAGGGCTCTGTTCATAGGCGCGAATTTGGAACTACGACAGTCGATGCGCATTACTGACAATCACTGTTCAAAGACTCTTTAGAGGTGATATTAGAGAGTTTTCGAATAGGGGCCCCTAAGAAATAGCGTTGAGGCCAAGGCTCATGCGTAAAAGCCAAGCCACATTAGGGGTTTTACGTCACGGACGCTATTTCTCAATTTAGCGGGTGCCCCAAAGCCTGACCCAAAAGCCTTGCGTCAGAAAAACGTGACGGCACCCACTGAAACGACGGCTCTCGGCTAATACTAGAGTGACTTAGAATAGAGGGAGTGTCCAAAGTGTCACAGACCCTACTCGAAAGCTCTTCACTCCTCCTTAACACTAAAGTGTTCATACGCAAATTGCTTTAGGGGCCCTTATTCAAAAACTCTCTATTTGGGAGTAGCTCAATGTGCTGTTGGTGCAAAAGGGGTCGCAGTTGCAATTTCGGAAAGCTTGCCGGAAAACGGCGCGAGATTGGGATTCGACGATCCAAGAACAAGACCCTTCGCGGTCCGAAACACACTGCGAAAACAAATGTCATGTTCTTGTCACCAAAACAATAAATAAAAAGCCTCGAAATAATGAAGTTTGTGAATTGGAGAAAACGTTGTCTTTGGCTATTACTCGCTTTTTGGCCAGGCGTGCCACTCCTCTCAAGGTGAACGAGGTACGCCGATGGCCGGAGAGCTTTCGAAGGTGCGCACACTGGCTGTTCACACAAACGATATTACCGGTGATTACTATACCGCCTAACGCGCATTCTGAGCCCAACTTGCTGTGGCGGCAACGTCAAATGCGTTTGAAGTTTTGACAATCCGCAGTAGTAGCGATGTAACGTTCGTTACATACTGCCCCCGAAACTTACAATGCTCGAGTGCTACGCACACCACTATGTGAATTGCAGGCTTCGCTATAGTCGGCTCCCCTCTTGTTGTAAGGGAACGCTGACAGTCCCCTTACGACAAGGGAAGCCATCCGCAGTCCACGTGCCAGCCCTGCATGCGCGCGAGCTCCGACATAGGGACCGGGGTGCGTGATAGAGATAAAAAAAAAAGAAAGAAAGAGACATTAGAGGTTAGTTGCTCCTGATATGGACAGGCTCAGAGGACGGAACAAAGTGACCGAGAACGAAAATGAGCGAACAAGGAGTCTGTGATTGCTCAATTAGGTCCGCGTTGGCTCTATCGGTTACCCAACGGTGACGCCCCTCAACGCAGGAAGCAACTGGCACATAAGGGCTATATACCCTCTGAAGCAATGGAAACAAACGACAAAATCTACACTCAGTAAGCATCACAACTGCGCGTACGCTTGCAAAGGCTTGTTTTTGTGCGCCTATTTACTAAAGCTTCCCGCCCATCGATTTTCATAATTTACTCACCATGCCACGGGCGAGTAAACTTCAAGGTGGCAACTGCGAACTATGAGCACATACATGCACCACGAACAAAGGGCGTGTTGTCAACGTTGACAGTTGCCACCTTGAACGTCTGGACCTTGAGCACATTCTTTTCTGGTGTTTTTTTTTTCTGAACACGTGATTCGCTTTGATTGTGATCACGGGTGACCTGGTGTAAGAGTATGGTGCAGTCACGTGGTGACACGCAGTGGCGACCACTGTAACTATGAAACTTTTGTTGCACAAACAGGTCAGTGACCGTATCCGCGTGCTTTTGGGTATACGACACAGTAAATTTTGGTTATATGACATTATTCATCGTAAAAACGGCGAGTGATTTCTAGCTGTCTTCGAAATTTATTTGTAAGTTCCATTGCCTCCTGCTGCGCTATATTATTTGGCTCGCTTGTTCTCAGAGACCTCGACTACCAATAGCAAGCATTTTCAGGCCATGTTAAAAAAGTATTGCAGGGCGAGTATAAGAACATTACTAAAGCATGTAGCTTGTCGTACTTGTGGTTCGGTGTTTATATCCACAATGCTAGTGATGTGCAAAACAAGAATGATTCTATAACGTATACGTCAAGCAATACAGACCATTTCATAGGTAAAGGAAGAATCCACGGTTCTGGAAATCCGCTCCATCGCTGGCGGAGCTCAAACAGCTTTTGCGTACGAGTCGCCTATCTAAACTCGAGTTATTGCTCAAAGGAAGCTAAGTTTTCGGTCGCGCTACAAGAAAACAGACACGCTCGACTGGGGCAGAGGAGTAAACACAGACAGACTTGGGCAACTACACGGAAGGACAAAAGAAGAAAATTCACTCGGACGCTCCAGTCGTCTTCTGCACCTGTGACCGACACTTAAAGGTACTACCGGAGCTCACTGTGGTTGGGCAAACAAATACACAGACCCAATTTCATCCTAGGAGTCCCTTCAGTTTTTCACAACGAGAGGTCATGGTCCCCGGGTGTGGCGACGGCCATGCCAGGGCAACACCGCGCGGCTACCAGAGACTCTCTGATCAGTGAGTTCAATGTCCCTTCATTAGGCTGGTGTATAATCGTACCAAAGGTATCGTGGAGTGAGTGATTGGTGTGAAACACGGGAAAGCCTGCCTACGTCCGATGGCGTTGTCGATCGGGGAACACGGTCTATAATATGTTAATTGTCTCTGTGTTCATTGTGTCCCATAGAATGTCCGCCATCTAGGGCCGCGATGAGTACGCGCGAAATTCGTGGTTTGAAGGCACGGATTTTGTCTGCTGTCTCCTGCAAAGTGAAGGTGTTGTCTGTTGTCGATATCAATGTCGCTTGTCGCCTGGATCGGATCAGTTGAAGGACAAAGCTCAAGCCAGTTAAACAGAACGAATTTCAATTGAACTACCGAGAACATTATACTCGTGGTTTGAAGCTGATACTCCATAATAACACAAGATAACAGCTGGGTCATACACTTATGTGCTGCGTTTGTCAGCCTAAGGTCTACGAGACGAGTCTTTTTGTAGCCTTGTTAGCTGAAGAGCGCAATGCTGCACCAGGCCCATCACATGACAACGTGTCTCTGCGACCAATGTCGCGTCTCCAACGAAGGTTATTCCACCGTGGTGTAACCAAACGACGATATAAACCCGACATGCACGTGTGCATGCAGCTCACATCAAGTGGACTCACTGCTAGTTATCCTCGTGGAAGCATGCAGCACGTCGCCTCGAGCATGTCTATACCAGCAAGAGAGGGGGGGGAAATGTGCACGAGAACTCTCTTACCTGCCTGTGTTTCGTTTTTGTGAAGTGGCGTGTTTCCAAATGTATCAATGCCGTCAAGAATGGCTTTGCATCCCTTAATGAACTGGCGTTGCCATATCAACCAGGTTACTGCTAACCAGTGCTTCAAGGCGAGTTTGTTGGCAAGGTATCTTGGAATAATATTGTAGCGCACATAGACGGGGACACGAGAAAGCCTTGTTTGTCTCCTTTCACCTCCTATTGACACTGTGTTCTGTGGGAGGGGTCAGGAAGTCTGGGAGGGCGCTTGTTTGAAACTTCCTATCTCACCCACCCTCAACCCCTATTGAAGAGTCCTGCCAACACCTATGCTTTTTTTGTATCTTCCCTCTATGCGTGCTACATTGTTATTCAAATATTCCAGCTATGGCATAGCTAGAGAAAATCTGCATGACATGAATTAATTTACGAATTGCTTCTTCCTTCGATCAATGTCTTTCGTCCTAAGTGGAGGCTGCCTGTCAAAAAAATTATTTTGTGGTGTGCCACAACTTCAACGGTCGGTCCCGTTCTGCTTTTCTCTTCGGCTGGCAGGTTCCCGTACTGGCCGTCTGTGCGTGTGCGAAGAGATGCCTCTAGCGGCCAAGGGCGGTGGCAGCAGCAGCAGCAGCAGCAGCAGCAGCAGCAGCACGAAGACACTCAACGCGAAGCGCAGCAGCAACAGCTGCTCGGAGCAGCAGCCGACGGGGCGAGTCAAGCGCAATGTGGCTGCCTTGGCGCGCAACGGCTGGCTGCCTCCGAGCTCAGCAGCGGCGCCATCACAGGCGCGAGGAACCAGGGCCGAGTTTTTGCGTCGCTTTTCGGGCTCTCAGGCCCACGAGGCCAGCGCGGAAGAGGAAGAAGGGTTTACGCCGGATGACGAGGCTTCCGATATACCCGAATGCGCCGACGATGACTATGAGGTATGGACTACAAGTAAGGGTGTCTGAATGGTGATACCATTGTGGTAGTAGGCTACAAGGAATGGGTACTTTAGAAAAGGTGGATATTTTTCACAACGGTAGTCTGAGCATAGGCGGTGGCGGTGACAATACGCGCGCTATGGCTTTGGGTGATCACAGTGTGACGACAGCACAGTGCCTGGAATACACTGATTAGGCACTCTGTCGACAAGGTGAGGCGCCTCGATGCCAGCGAATGAAGGAACGCTGCCATGGAGGTGTCCCACGACAGGATAAGGCTCTTTGATGCCATCGAGGTGCCCTAACACAGGACAAGGCACCTCGATTCCAGGAAGGAACGCTGCCATAGAGCTGTCCTACGACAGGATAAGGCACCTCAATTCCAGGAAGGAACGCTGCCATCGAAGCGCCCTACGACAGGATAAGGCACCTAGATGCCACCGTTCCATCCGCTGGCATCGAGGCAAGGGGCCTGGTATGGTGCCCTGGTATTTTTGGGACAATTTTGAGACCAAAGAGTACCATACAATACTACCTAGAGGGGAACCTGGTGCTAGTGTCTACGCGGGCTCCTTCAGCGCCGCTTGTACCACCATGAGAATTATGGGAAGTACTGGCTTCGGATCTGCTTCGGATGGATTACGTTCTTGAAATTCGCCATGCTTGTTTGCGGAGTGTAAGACAAAGTGATATTAAGTTATGGCTCAGCGTCATTTTTTTGTACGCAAACTTTATTGCAAAAAGGTTTTTTGTGACTAGGCGGTAGAAGTGAAACCTGGACAAATTTGACCACCAGGGTTTGCATTCCTCTGCCATTGCGTTTCAGAGTTGGCATCAAGATGTAATGAATTATTCTTCACAATATTTCAAAACAAACATTCCTGTTTTGCCCTCGAAAGTACGCAATATCTATTTGTGGAAATAACAGCACAGTATTCAGTGAGGAACACTTGACGTTTCGTCTGCTGCGATGCCAGGTGCGTCTGTTCGAGTGGTCTGTCCCCAACGCACCTCTCGTTTTGTTGTGAAGTCGAGTCAGGAGAGCGTGGCGGTTCATCTACTTCGCGTCGCCGTCGTTCTTCAGTTGATTTTAACGAGTTTCGGAGAGACAAACTTACAGCAAACGTAAACTCTATGTAATATCCTGCACTGGCATGGGATGCTACACCTATTCGCAGCGGCGAGTGGACGACGCTTCGCTTAAACTGTCAAACACGACTTATACAGTTCCATCGTTACAGTAAATTCAGAGGCGTAGCAGTTTTTAGCTTTTTTGAACAACAAAAGCGCAGCTTCAGCCCTTCGCACCAACCCCACTACCAACTCTACGCGAAGAACGAAACTGAAACTGTAGAAAAAGATCCGTAAATAGTTACCTGACTAATGCGATCCAATCCGAAGCCTGTACTACCCATAATTCTCATGAGGGCACACAATCGCAGAGTTATATTCCTGTATTATTGTACGAAAATACGATACCAGGTGCCGCTCGGTTCGCTATACTGTCGCAGGGCTCCTCGATGCCAGCATTCGTTCTCCCGGGATGGTGTCCCACATTGGCCATGCCATGGCCATACTGGGCAAATAGTAGTGCTTTCTTGTTGTGTTACGTTGCCTCAGACTAAGTCAAGCATAATTACGATAGATTTTAGCGCGAAATAAAGACGAGAGACGGACATTAGATTTGAACAATAGATTATCAGATTATAAGGCTTCATTGAGAAGGAAACCTTGTTCCAATCTTTCTTTAAATTTCAGGGAGTGCGGCAGCACACCCTTGCTATCGGGAACTGACCCCCGAATTCAGAAACGCTGCTTGGCTTGAACTTGGCTTGAACTTGGCTTGCTGCCGACTTCAATGCAGCACAAACGCGTTTGAAGGCGCTGTCTTTAGGCGGTGCCAAGGCAGCACAAACGCACAGACGCGTTTCAAACGCGCTGAATTGAAGGTGGTTTCAAGTCAAGTTCAAGTCAAGCAGTGTTTATAAACACGGGGGTAATTAATATGCTCGCAAAATTAAAAGCTAAGGTTCCACGAGAAATCGAGGAAGAATATTTTGTTAACAGATCGGGCGAAACATGCGAAGCGAAGCTTTCTATCACGTTGCATGCCACTGAGTTAGATTATTTGAGCGCCTGCCACTAATAGAATTTATTATATATATTTTTTGTTTTTTCTTGTAATGTTACCCGTGAGTGTGACTTTGTTCAGGTACATATACGCATGTGCCTTTCGAATAAAATCAGTTGATAGTTTGCCGCTTGTCCGTCTCTCGTCTTCACTTCGTGCTAAAATCTACCGTAAGAAGGAACCCACTCGCCCAACAAGTCACTATACTGAGTCAAGCCGTGGGCACTGTCACCACCAGCCCTGTATGAAGGAACGAAGGAACGCTGCCATCGAGAACTCCCTATGATAGGAGCGAACCGAGCGGGCCCTGACGTCGTAGGTTTCTTAACTGCCCCAAAAAGTCCAGGTCCCCAAGCTGTCCACAGCACATGGCGGAAGATGTCGGAGACCACGGACCACCAATTTTGGTTTAGGCAATCTCCACTGGAGGTTTCTTTTGAAAAAGGTTGATTAGCCAACCATCTATTTTGTTTTCACAAATTCAGCTAGCCGTCTGTCTTGCTTACTGTATCTGAGAATAGCTTTCTAGAGTGTGTGGAAAGCGTTTCTGACCTCTCGTTGAGCGTTCATGATGGTTTTTTATCTTTTATTTGTTTCTTTTATGATCAGGTGGTTAATTATGCATTTCTAATGACGACGTATAATTATTCTATATATATGGGGGAGTTGTTTCAAAATGTTTTTTTTTAGTTTTTAGTTGCGCGTTGTCCTATGTTCTAATGTCTCCGCTCTCTGTAGCGCTTCACTATCATTAATGTATGTATGAACCATGTTTGCGCGCTTTTGATATTATTATTATTATTATTATTATTATTATTATTATTATTATTATTATTATTATTATTATTATTATTATTGTGATTTAGACTTGCTTTCATTTCACGGTACTTTATGTGTATATGTGTACTAGACGTGTGCCTTCAAGCCGGGTTCGTCTATGAATTGACACAGAGCCTTATAGAATCATGTATCCAGAAATCACAGCTGACTGTTTGACTAGCGAGAGCCGACTTATAGGTGGTGGCGGGGGCGCTACGACTGCAACCATTGGCATGTTCATACAAGATAGTACGCATCTGCTTGCATAACTTAAATAAAACACTATGGACTAGCAGCACCTAGTTGTAAGTGTGACCAGTTCCACGTTGACATGAAAGCCGATGTAAGAGAGGTGGCAGTATACGTCTTCGGTCCGTACACTCACGCATTTTCATGCGCGAGAACAGAGAAAGAGAGTGATTATGAGGCATTACTGTCCGAAACCGCACATGGGGTTTGAGCCATGGCTAAGAGGTGAATTGGAAGAACAAGAAAGTCAGCTAGCCCCATTTGTGCGTTTTTCGTGCTTCGATTAAGCGGACGCTTGACAGGTCGACGAGACGTCTGTGGCTTACTTTTTGCTGCATTGGATCATTATCGCTCGTGTAAATCAATAAACAAGACCTTTTCTGCGCACTTGGCACGGGTGGAAACGCGACTGCCGTTGCTTGCTGGCGAACCCGTGACCTCATATGTAGGATGAGATGCGAGTATGACCTCAAACTAATTGCAGGAGAATTAGCGTAAATAAAGCCGACGAGTATGGGCTGTAAAGATATGTGGTCAGGCGAGAGTGTTCGATGCGCAGTTCAAGACGGTCGCACCTTCCAGTTGTGTTCACTATAGTCGCGTTGACGTCGCAGGGAGCAGACGATATCTTTCTGGTGCCATCGTTGGAGGAAGTCAAACGAAACTTGGGACACCTGGCTAGAACGGGCAGGCTTCCACCTTTCAACTATCGTCGTCCCTTCATGAATGCAGGTGAGCGTTATCATTTGAATGGTTTGAACCTTCTCTTTCTGTGGCATGCGAAATGTAAGCGTGGAACATTTTACTCCCCTTTCTCAACCTCTATTCCAAAGAAACAATTTGCAAGTTCATTTATTGGCATCACCCTCCATTAATGTGCATGTCGTTTTGTGAATGAGAATGCAGGTCGTAAAATCAACCGTATTATATGATTTCTTTTTGTACGGTAATATTACAGCTATCGTGCCTAAATACGGGTATTTGATAAAACACTGTGGTACTGTCGATATATCTTGCAGCGAGTTCATCGATAATCTATGCACTTCCTCTGATTGAGATGCTTTATTTAGTCGCCAAAATGGCATAAGCAAACAGTACACCAGTAAGCTTGGAACCTCGCATCTAGGTTATGGATCTTATGATAATATAAGTATTGTTATGACACATATTCACCTTGCTTTAAAGATCACTTTGTATTGGGCATCTTGAACGTTCTTCACATGTACGAGTAGTTATGCGAAATGCTATTTCCTCTGTAGCTTTCCTGCACTACACTTACGCTTTCGCTCTGAAGTTACAGATACTTATGAATTTATCTATTTTGCATCACTTGGGTCTTAAATGTGAAAGAAAGAAACAACAAATTCAGCTTTCTTGAATCTTTGTTTAATATTGTTACGTGAGAGAAGAGATGCTGGATCGACAAGGCTGCAGACAAACTATATTACAACCAGCAGTAGCGGCGTGAACAGTTAACCAGCGACCGAGTGGACAGAGCCCTTCGTCCTCCTCATCAAACACACACGCGCATCGTCCCAGAAAAAGTTCATGGGCATGCAGCATAATCCCCGGCAGCAGAAGCGCCATCTCGGCCGTATCTAGATGTCAACGTCACCGGGAGAGTGGCAAGCATGCCACATGAATGATGTCGGTGGCTTGTGGGGCATATGAAGGCGATGATGCGGCAGGAGCAATTTCATTGTTACAGGATTAACCTCACGAAAGACTCGGTATGGGCCTGTGTAGCGTTTTTCCGAAAAGCCGACTTGACGGGTCGGGGACCACAGCAGGACCAAGGAGCCGGGTAAAAGTGCAGGTCTCGGTGCCGTTCATTGTACGAACGCTGCTGGTTCCCTTTAGAAGCGAGAAGGCGAGTGCGGGTGATTTCGCGTGCATGGGCAGCTCGAGTGATAGCGTCAAGGACATATTTACTGGTTGGCGCAGCAGTAGGAGATTGCGTCTAGAGGTAAGGTAGGTTCTCGTCCGAACAGCAGAAAAAATGGAAAGCAAGCAGCAGTGTTGTGGCGCGAGGAATTGTATATGCAAATGTGACGTATGGCAAAGCAAGGTCTCAGTCAGAGTAGATTGAACAAACATACTTCGCAAGCATGTCTGGAAGTGTTCCCTTCAGACGCTCCGTCCGTCCACAATGTAGTGAGCTTGTGCCTCGTTTTACATAAATGCACGATATAAGCCAACATCTTCGATAGAAAGGTGCAGCCATGGTCAGTGCGCAGCTGTCGGGGAGCTCCATGTTGCGAAATCACGTCTTCTAGGAGAAAGTTTGCGACATTTGTGGCGCAGATTGTTGGAAGAGCTTGTGTGATAGCGTTGTGCGTGGCGTAGTCTGTGGCCACAGCTTTCGACCTGTTGCCAGAGGAAGACAAGGGAAAAGGGCCGAGTAGGTCTAAGCCAACGCGGAAGAACGGTTCTGACGAAATGTCAAGTGGTTGAAGGTGTCCGGCGGGAAGCATCGATTCTGTTTTGCAGCACTTACAATTCACACAAGCCGCAACGTATCTTCTAACTGAGCGTGAAAGCCCTGGCTAAAAAAAGCGTTGGCGAATTCAGTCGTAAGTGCGTGACACTCCAAGGTGACCGGCAGTTGGAAGGTCATCAATTGAGTTCGTGGAGAACCGCCGAGCGAAGGTGTTTCGGAATTACAAGTAGCTGGGCTGGTCCATCTGGGTTAACATTTTGGCGGTATAGTAGACCATCGTGAAGGACTAATGAGTGATGGGACCGATCGGAATATGGTGATTCGATGCGTTCGATTATAGCACGCAAGGGCGCATCAGTGTTGGTTGGGTAGTAAGGAAAGGATACAGTTAGCGCCGAAGGTCAAGGAGAGAAGATACCACTAACATCTTGTGTCATGCCTTTAAGCTGATCTAGAAAAAAAGCTAAACTTTCACGCTATGGCAGTTAATAATGCTGTCATAATCTATAACATGCACCGCATAGATATTCCAAGAGGTTGGCGTATAGAACCACAATAAAACATAAGAACGCAAGCTGAACTTAATAGCAGTTGATCAAAGTCGTCAAATAACGGCTCGGCCACCATGGAGAAAAAGGTTCGCTCAGAACAGGCCATGGCGGCTGCCATTCTTTGGCTAACGACCAGCGTTGGCCCATACTTTTGAAGCCCAGCACCCATACATCATTTGCTAATGAGCGTTTTAGTCACCATCACCTAACGTGGAAGGGAGTGAGAAGCTACCGATGCTTGACATCATCATCATCATCATCATGGTCTTCACTCTGATTACGCCCGCTGCAGGACAGAGGCCTTTCTCATGTTCGGCCAATACACTGGGTCCCGTGCTTTCTGCTGCCACAATATACCTGACAGGTGCAGTGTAGTTTCGCCTTTAAGGCTGAGGGCCAAGCTTCGACCTTGATCTGCAATATAGGACTTCCTGAAAATGAAAATCACATGAGAAGTGTGAAGTTACCTTATAAAATATTTGAAAAAAGCTTTGGCCTCCCAGATAAATATCTCACCACCCAACCAATCCGTACAGACTGTCTACCAGCGAAGCTGAAACTGCCTGCCTCGGTATTTATAAGGAGCTGCAATTTATTGAAATGTCTACTGTGCAATTTATTGCAATGTCTACTGTGACTTCCCTATACCCACATTTAAGAGATGCTCGCTTCAGACTTGGCGCTTGTTGACGTTAGGTCCAAGGATAATCAGAACATTAAATAGATAAGCTACTAGCCTGGTAGGTTATTGGTTCAAGTATATTAAACGCATTTCCTGTAATAACGTCCCAATAAAACACTTCGATGTGATTTGATTTTATTTTATTTACAAAAGACAGTCAACTCTAGCCAGCATTAGCCATTATTAAGCAATTTTACGTGTGGCTGTAATTTGACCAGAACAGCACAACATATTATATTGACACTCATCTTGCAATTGATGTGATTGTCTGCACCAATTGCTGAATCGATCAGCGGTGTTATACAGCCTGATTGAATGGACCAAAAATACCTGGCAAGTGAACAGACAAACAAACAAACAAGCACAATTAATAGATAGATAGATAGATAGATAGATAGATAGATAGATAGATAGATAGATAGATAGATAGATAGATAGATAGATAGATAGATAGATAGATAGATAGATAGATAGATAGATAGATAGATAGATAGATAGATAGATAGATAGATAGATAGATAGATAGATAGATAGATAGACAGACAGATAGATAGATAGATAGATAGATAGATAGATAGATAGATAGATAGATAGATAGATAGATAGATAGATAGATAGATAGATAGATAGATAGATAGATAGATAGATAGATAGATAGATAGATAGATAGATAGATAGATAGATAGATAGATAGATAGATAGATAGATAGATAGATAGATAGATAGATAGATAGATAGATAGATAGATAGATAGATAGATAGATACGCTCAAAGTCGCCGAAGTTCGCCACGAAACGCTTCGCATTTAAAATGATTTTGTTGAAAAGAAATTGCGGTAACAGCTTTATTTTTATTTCAATATAAAAAAAAGAAGACACATTGAGCCTTGAAAGATATGCGGACGATCGTTCCACAGAAAAGCCTCTTTTCAGAAAAAAATTTGGGAAAATTTCTCAACGTTCGAAAGTACGATGAGTATTGTGCTAACTACGTCTTAAGTGCGCATCGTACCTGAATGTCCCAAAGATTGGCGGGATGTCTTTGAGCAAGAACTTTTTTGCTCCGCAAACGCAAGATTAGCTTTTCTCGTTAAACCCTACATATAAATCAGAATAGCTTTTCTTTTCTTCAATAAAGTTTTTTCATTCCATTCCATTTCCTTTTCTTAACTTTTACTTGTATAGTAATCAAACGAAAAAATAAATTGGCAGATCCCACGTACCTGGGAATCGACGTTATTCGAAGCATGTGGAGGGTGACCATGTTGCAATTTTTTTATTGAGCGACACGTCGCGGAATGACGCTAAACATATGTACAAATGCTGCACGCACAGACATATGTTGAAGAGTTGCAGATCTTTATATAGCCAGTTGTTTGCACTTGCGCAATGATGTCAAATCGTATATGCATATTAGCAGCACCAGAAGCTGATATGAAGCCCTGATGCTCGCGATGATGCTTGCCCCGACACTGATACATAAATCAACTTCATCGCATGGCAACTGGCCGCAGTTGACTTTAGCACGACGTGACGGCTGTATCAAAGGAGTGCATATGTAATGTTTATAAAATTGGGTAGGCAGCACTCCAACCACTATCACGTTTCACGAAGATTACCGTCTATTTGAAAAGTGCTTGCGAGACCTGGCGTATCTCTGCCGTAAAATACTTCGTTGCCACGTAGAATGCTTGGGTTCGATTCCAGCTGGGACGCTGACATTTATTCTTTGCATTCGTCGGGTCAACGCTACCGATGTCGGGTATTTCTTAACGCTCACGTGTTAAAATTGCCCATGTGTGTTCTCGTTGTTCCTGGCTAGATACTAAGTGTCAATCACCTGTGGCACATGCCCGCATACCAGTGCCACATACCCGCCCGTCGGTATGGGCCACTGTCTGGCCGGAAGTGTTTGACGACGTACGCGATAGGATTGTGACATAGTTCATGCCTTGACCAGCGCGCCATATTCTTCAAACCATCATACCCTCCCATGCTGATTTTGGTCCATGCCAAGTTAAGGGGGTGATTACGAGAGCACCCAAACGTAAGTGGCTAGATAGATAGATAGATAGATAGATAGATAGATAGATAGATAGATAGATAGATAGATAGATAGATAGATAGATAGATAGATAGATAGATAGATAGATAGATAGATAGATAGATAGATAGATAGATAGATAGATAGATAGATAGATAGATAGATAGATAGATAGATAGATAGATAGATAGATAGATAGATAGATAGATAGATAGATAGATAGAAATGATGACTTTTTTTATCTACATGCAGACGTATCCGAGGCGACTTCTCCGTGGCCCCAGGCCAGGCCTAAGCGCCTCGCGAAGCGCTGCCGGCCCCGCGGCGAGGAAAAGCGCAACGTCGCCGCCATGGCGCGCAAGGGGGCGCTGCCGCGTACATGAGCGGCGTCCGACAACAGCGCCCTCTTTGCGCCACCTCTGCCGCCACCTGTGTCTCTCTACTGTCTTCCCAGAGGTCATCTATGCGCGTCCCAAGAGGACACGATGAAAAAAAAATCTCGCAGGCACGCACTGTCTGACGCAAGCCGCGACTTACGCAGGGGACCCTGCCAATTTCGGTGTTGTCATCCCCACCTAAAATGCTGTCACTCTGGATACCGTACACGCCTCTATGTAATCTGCCGGTTGTTCATTGTCCTTCCCCGGCTTTGATTGTTGGTGCACCATAAGCTGTTTGAGTCAACGGGACGCAGTGATGTAGTTCACAGGGTTCGCTTCGTGCGGTCGCACTGGAATGTGCTCCTACTATGAATAGGTGGTGTTTCTCGCTCAGTATCTCTCTTTTTCCTTTCAGTCATGTCTGGTTGAACGTGTTGGTCTGAACGTATGCCTTTAGAGTTTTAATTTCATAATTTATCTTTTTCAGTGAAGTAGTTTGGCAGTGTTGAACATTCGAAAACATCTGCGCTTAGCAATACCAAAACATAAGGTAATGAAAAAATACATTCGCAAAAATATTACGACCGAAACATATTTGCCGACTTATTGTCTCCGCCCAGGACTGCCTTACTTGCCATGGTGTAGTGCATCTATCCGTTTAAGTTACTTAAGCTTTTTTTTTTCACATAGCATAGTCCGCTCACTGTTGTTCGCATGCCTCCTTTTGTTGTCTCTCGTGGTGTTTTTTGTTTTTTTTTATTTTCTTAGCTAGGTCACGGGAATTATTGTTTACATTTTTTGTATCCAAGAGACAAACTAGACACGGTGTCTCGTAAAAGTGAGATGCTTTAAACTACACTCATTTCAAAACCTCGCTTTCGCACGCACTGAGAACACAACTGCGCGGAAGCATAATTATCGACTGCCTAGAGCTGGACTTGTTGGTATTCTAATTGTGATACAGAATGGTTGGTTTCGTGGCTGCACAGTCTACTACATTGTTTCTTAAGCTTTTCTTTCTTTCTTGCTCTCTCCCTTCACGGTTAACTTTCAGATTGCTCCGTCAGAAGCTTCAGGACTTAGATAGCAGCTTAATATGTTCTATTCGCATTCTATCAGCGATCATAGCCAAGGTGGACCCTGCATATAAAAGAGTTGAGAATTACCTAATGATTCCAGAGTTAATGGTTTATTGGCTACGGCGCCGCGTTCTTTGCCTCGTGGTTGCGGTTCCAATTAATGCCTTGTCTTCCACTTTCATATATGACAGAAATGCTAAAACACGCCTGGACTTGGCTCCGGGTGCTCTTTAAAGAGGCACAGGTAGTCAAAATTACTCTGGGGTCTTCACTACAAAAAAATTGCAATCAGATCAATGTTTTTTTCTCACGCAAGACCCCAAACTTCACTTAAGTTCTTAAGTTTAATAAAGGTGGATACCCAAGTACGAGCAATTTAACTAGACATGACCATTTTGCTGTTATTACTTTTTTGCTTTATAACGATTCCTTGTAGAAGCTACACTCGCATACTGTCTTGTTGACGCTCCAATCGTTTACACTAAAACTTCTTTATTCAAGTTTTATCCTTTTCCGCAGTTTCGAGAGTATAGCTCAGGCATTGTCGAAGCATCGTGCATTCTTTAGGTAATATTTTATAGGTGCAGGGTAATGCTCACTTACTATGCTCGACCTAATTATTCAAAGAGTGACTTTGTCTCAATCTCAGTCTTTATTCTGACATTTCTTTAACTCCTTCAAGCAGACCATTAGCAAAAAAACTGTGCCACGAAAGTATTTGGAGCATGCAGCACAATGGGGTTGGGAGTGGAACTTGACTGTGGCGTGTAGATGTCAGCTTCTGAACACGCTTTTTTTGTGCGAAGGCCTCTCGAAGTAAGGAACGGCAACTAAATGTGTAAACTGTTTTCCGAGTACTCCTGGTAATAAAAGAAGTTGTAAGTTCCTAATGAGTACCGTAATGGGAAAAAAAAGAAGAAACTTATTGTCTCATGCTGAATATGGTGTGATGTAATATCATTCTTTTGAATGCGTTCTGGCAGTGTTAAGTGATAAAACGATCCGTTCGTTATTTTATTAAGTTCATCTCTCTTTCTAAGTAATGTATGCGCACACTTCAGCCCGTGTCTGGTTAACATACTATGTCTACTAATACCAAGCTCGCGATTTATCTGTATCGCATCGAGAATAGTCGACAAAATTGATATAGCAATGAAAACAGCACGCACTGATTAACAATAGTAACCCTTAGAGGGAACAAAAAAAAACTTATTTGAACGGAGACTTACACTAACCGAAAATCATTAACTTATGTCCTGTGTTATTGTTTTAATATATCATACAATGACGGAAGCAATTGGGCTATAGCTCGCATACACTGCTAGCCAACGAATAAGTAAAGCGCAGCTAAAAGATATTGTCAAGACGAAGACGCCGCGTAAAGTTTGTTGTCTTTTCTTTTAGTTTCGATTCAGAAATCATAATTCATCGTGCCTAATTTATTCATAGGACAAACGTCTTTACCAAGAACATTATTTTTGCTTCACTATCTTTTCGTTCATCAGAGTTGAGCTCGTGCTTGACTATCCACAAACGTCGAGCAACTTCTCTATTATTCACTGGCTGGAACTTCAGCAGGTAATGTGAAATTCAGCACGATTTAGCGCCACCGCACGAAGCTTTGGTCTAAGAAAAACACTACGCAGCTACGCGATTCACTTTATGGGAGGAGGACATGTGTTGTCGATAACATATCGCCGCACGCCGTTTTCAGCTTCCACGTAGTTGTTTTCGTCCAGTTAGACTTGCATACGTAAGCCTACTCGCGTATAGTCTAGTACAGCGCCTGTATACTGAGGGTCTGTGCACTCTAACGCGCTTCGCTGCTTCGATGTGTTATCTGTTGCGAAGTGCGATGTACAGTCGTCCGTAAGCTTAACATGAACGTACCGCAGCGTGTCCTCAAACAGGTCGATTGGCGCTATAGCACCGCGTAGCTTTGGGATCTGTTATCCAGAGGTTGCCCGTGCATGCAGACATACTATCAAACCAAACCAAGGTATTATCTCGGCAACAGCAGCCAGCGCTTCGCCGCTAGCATGAGTCAAAGTAGACCAGGTCTCGCGTCGCATCGTTCGTGTAAAGCTTACTGACGACCGTACATTTTTCGTCCTTCTGCAAGGAGACGCGTTTTGTTTGCAGATTTGTTTGAATGGCCGCCCTATATGGCCCATTATGCAGAGAAAAGGCTAATGGTTATTGAAACTGGAGTTTTCCCACACACACCGTGATGGCCTACTTGCTTAAGTGTTTAGCTGCTATGCCCGAAGGGGTGAATTCGAATCCCGCCAACAGGAGCTATGATTAGATTGGGACGAAACGCTAAAAACACACGTGCTCTTTGACTGAGGTGCGCGTTAAAAAAGCCTAGTTCGTCAAAATGAGTTCAGTCTCCGACTACAGCGTGCTTTGTAATCATATCGTCGTTCTGGCACATAAAACGCGGGAACTTACAATACGTTGGTTTTCATCACAAAGGTGCCAGTGTGGGCTTGTTGGTGTGACATGGTAGAGGGTAAATGCGTTCAGAACGAGGACAGAAAAGGGTCTTGAAACACACGAGCGTTGCGTGTGTGTGTCAAGCTTCTTCTCTGTGCTCGGCTTCTGCGCATTTATATTGTTTCACTTTAATGGAAAATATCCAGAAGAGAACCAAAAGTTGGAACACGATGCTGTGTCGGTGTCTGTGTTTCTATTCATCCGTTTTTTCTTCGCGTTTAAAACGTGAAGCTCAGCTAGAGTAGACTGTCAAAAAACATTCTATAGGTGTCTTTCATCAGCGTCTTTCATTATATGTCTTTCAATTAGCGTCTTCCACTTTTAGAAGCCGTTGCTGCTCCACAACGTTTTGGGTGTGAATGCGATATACTGCGCAAAAACGACGAATTTGTACCCTTTTGATTAGTTCCACTCTTTGTAGTCTAGTAGTCTGCACCGTCGACTGATACGTTGCCCTTATTATTATTTTACGTTTCCACATCTTGGGTCCTCCAGGAAAAGCCGTTGTGAATAATGGCATAACGTCTATACGCAAAAAAAAAAGGAATGAAACGAAGAAAAATAGGTCTCTAGGCAGTGCCAACTCATAAACACGGCAAAAGCAAGGAACGACGATATCGTTCAGTAAATTAGAAGCGGGGAGGGGGGGGGGGCATACACGAAGCAAAGAAGAATTACACAGCACAAGCGCTCACTAACAACTAGTTTATTTTTTCACGTTAGAAAGACGTACTTATACACAAGGTTGTGCATGTCAGTGATGTACTGATATTGCGAAACTCAACAAGAAATTGTATTTTTCGCTGTTTCATTTCTAATTTGCTATTAAGTCGAGTTTCATTGATTGCGGTGTAAGTTAAATATAAGATACCTCAATATGCTGGTTTGTAGAGATAATTTATGACGTCACGATTCTAGGGTTAATTTCTAATTTCATGTGAATTTGTTTCAGATTTCGCATGTGACATCACACAACTCGACCATAAGTGTGCCCATGCACATGTTTACCCCCAAATGCGCATATTCGTCGTTCTTCGCTATTGTTTGTTCTTGTAAATTAAGTTATCACAAACGAAACCTCGCCTTAACTCATCTGTATCCTTTCTTTTAGGGTCCCGCAACTGAAACTTCCAATACCTATTACCATTGTAGGCGCACACGCTAGTTTCAGGCAGTTCGGATAGCTATACCCAAAATGTTTCGATAACTGAAATGAGCTTGTGACATTGGGACGTTGTGACTATTGAGATTAGCGTCAGTGCCATTGTTCGAACAAAAATGTCATTTTTCGCAGTCTACCCAAACGTTGTGCGTGCGGCATCGTCAAGATGACTTGAAATGTACTTCTGGGCTAGTTGGTCGTAGCGCGTGGCAGCGCACACTGGGTGAAAGGACGACAGGAATCAACGCTTGGTATAGACGCCAACAAAAATCTCTCTTTCCCTAATAAAGAGTATCTCTCTCTCTATGTCTTTATGCTTTATTATTGCCTTTTAATCCGGTATGTGCGGCCATATGCTATATACCTTATGCAATATTTCTGCCATCTGTGGGTTGTCATGTGCATACCGCAATGTTAGAGGCTCAGTGCGGTGCAGTACACGCAGTCCGCATGTGTTTACGTATACGTATACGCAAGACGTATCGATGTGAGGCGTGAATTGGCTGATAATTGCAATGCTGACGTATTACTGCGTCCCTTGCTGCACACATAGAGCAACTATAAATGCCGAAGAATAAAAAAAGGTAAACCGTAAGCTCTGTGCCTTGTTATTTTTCTGAGTTGATGACG